TACCACCCCCTTCCAATGACTGACAGCCTGACCAATATACACCCCCTTACTGACCAAAACCTGACCATACCTGAACCAAAACCCCCCCCTTCCACTGACCAGCCTGACACCAATATACACCCTCCTCCAATCTGACAGCCTACACCATATACCACCCCATTCCATGACCAGCCTACCACCATAACCACCCCCCCTTACACTGACCAGCTGACACCAATATACCACCCTCCTTCACTGACAGCCTACCAATATACCACCCTCCTAATAGAACTGATCAGCTCACACCAAATACCACCCTCCTTAACCTAACACTTCAGCCTGACACAATATCCACCCTCCTAATAGACACTGATCAGCCTAACCAATATACCACCCCCTTAACTGACCACCCTCACTCATATACCCCAACCCCTCCTAATGACACTGATCAGCCTCACACCCATATACCACCCCCTAATAGACACTGATCAGCCTCACACCAATTATACCACCCTCCTAATAAATTTTCACTGATCAGCCTACCAATATACCACCCTCCTAATACCACTGCGATCAGCCTCACCAATATACCACCCCCCTAATGCACTGACCAAGCCTGACCAATATACCACCTCCTAATAGGACACTGATCAGCCCTGACACCAATATACCACCCTCCTAATAGACACTGATCAGCCTGGACCAATATACCACCCTCCTAATAGACATGATCAGCCTCACACCAATATAACCACCCTCCTAATAGACACTGATCAGCCTCACACCAATATACCAACCCTCCTAATAGACACTGATCAGCCTCACACCAATATACCACCCTCCTAATAGACAATGATTTCAGCCTCACATCAATATACCACACTCCTAATAGACCTGATCAGCCTCACACCAATATACCCACCCTCCTAATAGACAATGATCAGCCTCACACCCAATATACCAATCAATCAATCAATCAATTTTATTTTATATAGCCCTTCTTACATCAGCTAATATCTCGAAGTGCTGTACAGAAACCCAGCCTAAAAACCCAAAACAGCTAGTAATGCAGGTGTAGAAGCACGGTGGCTAGGAAAAACTCCCTAGAAAGGCAAAACCTAGGAAGAACCTAGAGAGGAACCAGGCTATGGAGGCGGGTGGCCAGTCCCTTCTGGGCTGTGACGGGTGGAGATTATAACAGAACCATGCCAAGATGTTCAAAAATGTTCATAAGTGACAAGCATGGTCAAATAATAATCAGGAATAAATCTCAGTTGGCTTTTCATAGCCGATCATTAGAGTTTAAAACAGCAGGTCTGGGACAGGTAGGGGTTCCATAACCGCAGGCAGAACAGTTTAAACTGGAATAGCAGCAAGGCCAGGCGGACTGGGGACAGCAAGGAGTCACCACGGCCGGTAGTCCCGACGTATGGTCCTAGGGCTCAGGTCTCTCAGTTGGCTTTTCATAGCCGATCATTTAGAGTTGAAAACAGCAGGTCTGGGACAGGTAGGGGTTTCGTAGCCGCAGGCAGAACAGTTGAAACTGGAATAGCAGCAAGGCCAGGCGGACTGGGGACAGCAAGGTGTCATCATGCCCGGTAGTCCTGACGTATGGTCCTAGGGCTCAGGTTCTCAGAGAGAAAGAGAGAACGAGAGAATTAGAGAGAGCATACTTAAATTCACACAGGACACTGGATAAGACAGGAGAAGTACTCCAGGTATAACCAACTAACCCCAGCCCCCCGACACATAAACTACTGCAGCATAAATACTGGAGGCTGAGACAGGAGCGGTCCGGAGACACTGTGGCCCCATCCGAAGAAACCCCCGGACAGGGCCAAACAGGAAGGATATAACCCCACCCACTCCGCCAAAGCACAGCCCCCGCACCACTAGAGGGATATCCCCAACCACCAACTTACAATCCTGAGACAAGGCCGAGTATAGCCCACAGAGGTCTCCACCACAGCACAAACCAAGGGGGGGGCGCCAACCCTCCTAATAGACACTGATCAGCCTCACACCAATATACCACCCTCCTAATAGACACTGATCAGCCTCACACCAATATACCACCCTCCTAATAGACACTGATCAGCCTCACACCAATATACCACCCTCCTAATAGACACTGATCAGCCTGACCAATATACCACCCTCCTAATAGACACTGATCAGCCTCACACCAATATACCACCCTCCTAATAGACACTGATCAGCCTCACACCAATATACCACCCTCCTAATAGACACTGATCAGCCTCACACCAATATACCACCCTCCTAATAGACACTGATCAGCCTGACCAATATACCACCCCTCCTAATAGACACTGATCAGCCTCACACCAATATACCACCCTCCTAATAGACACTGATCAGCCTCACACCAATATACCACCCTCCTAATAGACACTGATCAGCCTCACACCAATATACCACCCTCCTAATAGACACTGATCAGCCTCACACCAATATACCACCCTCCTAATAGACACTGATCAGCCTGACCAATATACCACCCTCCTAATAGACACTGATCAGCCTCACACCAATATACCACCCTCCTAATAGACACTGATCAGCCTCACACCAATATACCACCCTCCTAATAGACACTGATCAGCCTCACACCAATATACCACCCTCAAAATAGACTAGAACAATGCTGGTAACACTTTACTGGCTGCCTTTATAATGGATTTACAAAGGGCTTCTAAGGGTTTATATATACACCTCGTTGTAATGTAGTAATATATGTTAATGTAAGACAATATTAATGACGCTTTCAGGGTAGATGAAGTGCTCTTTAAGCGTGATCTTGTACTCAAAAGACAGTCTTTTAAATCATTTTTTTCAGTGGCCAGACCAAAACCATTTCTCTATTCCTGGCCAAGAAATTATTGATTGAGTTTTTGTAGAATACAGGTCAGCGGACACATGATTGCATCTGAACCAGCAGGAATATGACAGTCAGAGAGTTGGAAGGAGGTTAGTGACGCAGTGGAAATGTGTATTGTATTGAGGCCAGTGTGGAATCTTCACTGTTTGTTCTGAACACGTGTCACTCACGCAGTTCTATAATTAAAAAGGCTACAAATTGTTTACAGTTGTTGGCCCACTTCAGAGAAGATACACACTGGCCTGTAGAATACCACGGGATACGTTACCATCGTATGCTGTACATACTGAACCAACAGACCGGCCCGTTTCCTTGCTTTTACATCTTACAACAACTTTGATCAGAACAAACCAGGTCTGACATCTGTACAGATTTGGGTTTAAGATAAGACCTTAATTTTAATCATGCTTATCTTCACAATCTTCACATGCAGTAGACAAGACAGGAGATGAAAGACTCGTAAACCAGAGTTTATACGCTAATATGCTAATATAATATAATAATAATATGCCATTTAGCAGACGCTTTTATCCAAAGCGACTTACAGTCATGCGTGCATACATTTTTTTGTGTATGGGTGGTCCCGGGGATCGAACCCACTACCTTGGCGTTACAAGCGCTGTGCTCTACCAGCTGAGCTACAGAGGACCACCTAATGTCGGGGGCTTAATAATAATTTATTATTACTATACAGTAGTTCTCTAGATTAAGATTAGAAGATTAAACAAGGAAGATGTGCAAAAAAATATATGATACATTACATAAAACCAGGGATTCATCTGCCACAATTCCTAGCAGTTATAAACAGCTATAAATATATTAAATAAGAGTTTAAAATAATTTTCCTTCATAAAAACATCCATATCCATTAAACAGAACTTCCTGATATATTGCATGTTCACTAACATTGACAACATACAAAACAAGTCCAGCCTTATCTACAAAATAAACAAATCCATTTGTTCTTCCAGACATTCACAGAATGCACAGTGTTTAAATAATGATCCCTTTAATCAGAGTGACAGGACCGACGGGATAATGATCCCTTTAATCAGAGTGACAGACCGACGGGATAATGATCCCTTTAATCAGAGTGACAGACCGAAGGATAATGATCCCTTTAATCAGAGTGACAGACCGAAGGATAATGATCCCTTTAATCAGAGTGACAGACCGAAGGATAATGATCCCTTTAAGCAGAGTGACAGACCGACGGGATAATGATCCCTTTAATCAGAGTGACAGACCGAAGGATAATGATCCCTTTAATCAGAGTGACAGACCGAGGGATAATGATCCCTTTAATCAGAGTGACAGACCGAGGGTACAGAATCTGTAGTGGAAGCCATTAACATTTTAAAGGCTGCCACTTGGCATCGGAGAGAAAATGTTGCAGTTTTTAAACTAATTTCCTGTAATTCTACACATTTTGTCATGGGGCAGAGAGATGTTTTGTTGTTGGGTAACAATTAAGTACGTTACTGTGATTGTTTGAAATAAAATAGTCAAAAAGAATCAAACATAGATTCTTAGCAAAGAGCAATTTCTCAAGCAAGAATTTTGATAGGACTGTCTGGGAGTGGTCAGAGTGGGGAGGGGAAAACTGAAAACTAGCTGTTATTGGCAGAAAGATTTGGAACTCTCTTTCTTATTGGGCTATATTAACTAATTTACCACCTGGTGATGTCACCAGACAGGCCAAAACTACATCCCACCAAAACAGGCAGAAATGTCAGGTCTTTCAAACAGCTCGTACACTAAAAGGGCATTATCATAATTTTCACTACTTCACAGTATTATTCTAACCTCATATGTAAAACACAGGAAAATCACGTTTTTGACTGCACTGGGCCTTTAAGAACATAAATTGTAGGTTAATAATATAACATTATATTACACACTGTAAACTTATTCCACAGATCCCTATGCCAAAATTTGTTTAACCTGTTTTTGTTCGTAAAATTCAATAGAAATGTTTGTTTTTTTAAAATATTTTTTAAAATATATATTTTTAGTTGTGGCCGCGGACTCCCTGCAGTACATCCGTAGACCCCACTTTGAGAACCCCTGAAATAGGGTGCCATTTGGAATGAAGGCTGTGTGAGTTTCTACAGGCGTTTCAGGACCCGTTGAGTCTGTGCCATACAGCAATCACCTTCTCAGGGTGAGACATGCTGTCCCTCCACTGCTCTGCTGCTTCCTGCGTTGGGCTGTCAAAGCCAAGGTGAACCTGCAGAAGCAGTTATGAAAGTTATGTAACAGGCCTAATCTTAGAACGCAAACGTTCCACGTGGTTAATTGTGTGTGTGACAGCGAGATAGGCAGAGAACATGGATAGTGGCAACCTGAGTTAGTAAAGATAGGCAGAGAACATGGATAGTGGCAACCTGAGTTAGTAAAGATAGGCAGAGAACATGGATAGTGGCAACCTGAGTTAGTAAAGATAGGCAGAGAACATGGATAGTGGCAACCTGAGTTAGTAAAGATAGGCAGAGAACATGGATAGTGGCAACCTGAGTTAGTAATTATTGAGTAGTACAACAACAACAAACAACAACAACAAACAGTCACACAGATACGTTAAGCCATTATCACCTGTCCGAGGTAGCGTTTCCGTCTGACAGAGCGGCGGCTGTAGAGTTTGACTGACAGCAGGAAGCTCTGGTCCTGAGCTAAGGGGAAGTAGAAAGACTCGGTCCAGGTCAGCTGACCTCCGGAGGACTTCAGGGCATGAGTCTTCTTCTCCATCACCACCGTGCCCAGCTGCTGCATCTCTATCTTCACAAAGAACGCTGGGAGGGGGGGGACACACACAAACAAAATGGCTACTCATTAGCCTCGCATGCCCAGGCTTCTCATGTACCAGACGGGATTTGTAAGGATGCCCACTCTAGACTACTCTTCATTCAAAGAATTTCAAATGTTTCAAAGAATGACGTAAGTGAATGGTGTTTGGTGGTCAGATCCAGACCTGGGTTCAAATACTATTTGAAATCTTTCAAAAACATTGCTGCTGTAGCCTGCCCGGAGTGCCTGGTGGTGGCCAGGGTTGGTTCAATCGATCACAGCTACATTTTTTCTAATAATATTTTGAACCCAGGTCTGGTCAGGTGGAGTAGACACCTACCCTGCCTGAGTGGAGCTGGGAGGTTCTGGGCAGCGAGGACCTGCAGTTGGATGCATCCGTTAACAGGTTGGAAACAGGTGGCCAGGTGCAGCTCAGCATGACACACCTGGAGAAACAGGGAGGAAGTAGAGGAGAACATCAGACACCGGAGACGGAGGAAGAGGAGAACATCAGACACCGGAGACGGAGGAAGAGGAGAACATCAGACACCGGAGACGGAGGAAGAGGAGAACATCAGACACTGGAGACAGGAGAAGAGGAGAACATCAGACACTGGAGACAGAGGAAGAGGAGGAGAACATCAGACACTGGAGACAGAGGAAGAGGAGGAGAACATCAGACACTGGAGACGGGAAACATTTCCTACCAACAACCTCAACAACTTCATAAGTCCCCTGTAGCTCAGTTGGTAGAGCATGGCGCTTGCAACGCCAGGGTTGTGGTCGTTCCACAGGGGGCCAGTATGAAAATGTATGCACTCACTAACTGTAAGTCGCTCTGGATAAGAGCGTCTGCTAAATGACTAAAAATGTAATATTGCTAAACACACTGGTGCCATCCCAAATGGAAACACACTGGTGCCATCCCAAATGGAAACACACTGGTGCCATCCCAAATGGAAACACACTGGTGCCATCCCAATGGAAACACACTGGTGCCATCCCAAATGGAAACACACTGGTGCCATCCCAAATGCCTGTACTTGGTTAGGCAGCTAATGCTGCGTGACAACAATGTGATTTTGAGGTATGGTAACGCGAGACTAGGTAGCAGTGAGACAACGTGATTTGGAGGTATGGTAACGTGAGACTAGGTAGCAGCGTGACAACAACGTGATTTGGAGGAATGGTAACGTGAGACTAGGTAGCAGCGTGACAACAACGTGATTTGGAGGAATGGTAACGTGAGACTAGGTAGCAGCGTGACAACAACGTGATTTGGAGGTATGGTAACGTGAGACTAGGTAACAGCGTAACAACGTGATTTGGAGGAATGGTAACGTGAGACTAGGTAGCAGCGTGACAACAACGTGATTTGGAGGAATGGTAACGTGAGACTAGGTAGATAAAGTACTTATTGCTTCTGTGTGTAACCTGGATTGGTTTGAAGGAGTACAAATTTGAAGAAGATAGTGAAAATTCCACCATCTGTTTTGTTGGCGTTTTTGTGAGTTAACCGAAAGGAATTGTATGTTCTGTTCTTGTTTGTGCTGTTTATGTGTACCTTAAAGTGGTAGACTAAATGATATGGTCTAACAACATGTGCTTGTTTTCTAGGAAAAATTGGATGTCTCTTTTCTGAGAGAGCACAATGATGATTTGTCTGACTTCTGGACCGCAGAAACAGAACAGTGTCGTTTTCTGTCTGTAATTTTCTCACTCACCATTATTCACGATTCATTCAGGACTATCCGTAATCATGGTAGCATCCACATTTAATGTAGAAGTGTTTAGAAACATATTATATTCTTATCTACAATAAAAGTGACTCCAAAATGACAATACATTATTTACCATTCATTTCTATTGGGCAGAAAATAATCTGAAACACAACCAAAACAACAGCAAATGTTTACAACACATTTGTAGAGTCACAAGCTTAATGTAATCATTGCGTGCTGTTAATATGGGACAAAATACTTAACTTTTGACTACTTTAATACACATATAAGTGAATTTGTCCCAATACTTTTAGTCCCTTAAAATGGGGGGACTTCGGACAAAAAGTGCTGTAATTTCTAAACGGTTCACCCAATATGGATGGAAATACTCTCAAATTAAATCTGACGGTCTGCACGTTAACCTCATTTGTATCATTTCAAATCCAAAGTGCTGGAGTACAGAGCCAAAATAACAACAAATGTGTCACTGTCCCCAATACTTTTGGAGCTCACTGTATATGTCCTGTAAACATGTGTTATCACAACATTTTGCAGAATCGTAACCGTATGCATCCCCAGAACATCCCCATTATTTATTTAATCATAGTCTTTAAACACAATCATAAATTGATTCACAAGTACAAAGCTTAGTTCCCTATTTACTGCAGTACCGTTGACCAGGTTCCATAGGGCTCTGATCAAAAGTACTGCACTAAATTTCATTTTATTTTACCTTTATTTTAACAGGTATGTTGACTGAGAACGCGTTCTCATTTACAGCAACGACCTGAGGAATAGTTACAGGGGAGAGGAGGGGGGGATGAATGAGCCAATTGGAAGCCACCATGGGATCTTTAGTGACCACAGAGAGTCAGGTCACCAGTTTAACGTCCCATCCGAAAGACGGCACCCTACACAGGGCAATGTCCCCAATCACTGCCCTGGGGCATTGGGATATTTTATTTATTTATTAATAGCGAATAGGGAGCCATTTGATACGCAACCAATGATGCTACAGAGAGTGGGCTCTTTCATAACATTAGCATGACATTACCATTGTAAGGACCAACAGCGTGTAATGGTCCAAGTGACCCAGTTCTCCTGCTTCTCCTTTCAGAGGCCAGCCACTGGACCACTGACCCATTTCTGCCACAAGACGGACATGTTGAGGCATGACAACAAGAATATGTACAAGGACATTTCCTGTTACGGTAAGTACAGTCAATAACCTTTCTTAAACTTCCTGGACTGTGTATACACCGGTGTAGGATCTTAATTTGATCACCCTTTTGCAGGAGAAATGTCCTGCAATGCAGGAAATGTAAAACTTGTAGTGTATTTTTTGAGGTTTAAAAAGGTTTCTGAAGTTTGTAATTTGTATCAACCCCATACAAAAAAGTCAATTAATTATAATCCACATAATAATTCACATTTTTTCTTGCTGCAGCTCAAATTAACTGGCTCAAGTTAAGATACTACATCTGTACATCAGATGCCTCTAATGTCCATTCTAAACCTTTCACATTATTACACAAGGCTACTTCTAAATAATATTATTGCATCAATTGTTTCTAACCGTTTCTAAATCACCTTCCTTACAGTGCTACTGCCTATAACCTCCATCAACAACTCTCATTTACATTACATTTACACTCTCCACATAATAAGCCCACAAAAGCTTTTTCTAAAGATGCATTTTTATTGCATCCACTGTTTCAAATACACACTCTTCATATAACAGGTTAGTCTATTTCAGAAACAAGGATACAACAAAAAGGAAAGCTCTTAGGTATGACTCTGTCTAAGGCCTGTGTTATCTAAGGGCTCGGTTGGGCGACTTAAGAAACTGCAAATAAGCCAGTGCGTCACAGTTGGGAAGTACATGGGAGAAAGAAAGGAACAGCTGGGGCCAGGACGATACTCCCAGGGACTGAGTAGTGTTCAGAGGGATACTCCCAGAGTACAGGGTGGTGTTCAGAGGGATACTCCCAGAGGACAGGGTGGTGTTCAGAGGGATACTCCAGGGACTGAGTAGTGTTCAGAGGGATACTCCCAGAGGACAGGGTGGTGTTCAGAGGGATACTCCCAGAGGACAGGGTGGTGTTCAGAGGGATACTCCCAGAGGACAGGGTGGTGTTCAGAGGGATACTCCCAGAGGACAGGGAGTGGTGTTCAGAGGGATACTCCCAGAGGACAGGGTGGTGTTCAGAGGGATACTCCCAGAGGTCGGTGGTGTTCAGAGGGATACTCCCAGAGGACAGGGTGGTGTTCAGAGGGATACTCCCAGAGGACAGAGTGGTGTTCAGAGGGATACTCCCAGGGACAGGGCCTGGTGCTCAGAGGATACTCCCAGAGACATGGTAAGTGTTCGAGGGATACTCAAACTGAGTAGTGTTAGTGGGTACAGTGACAGGTAGTCAGAGGTACTAGCCCAGGAAGGAGTGTTGGAGGGTCGGAGGACGGGTGGTGTGTTAGAGCGAGTACTCCCCAAAGACAGGTTTTTAGGGGTACTCCCAACGACAGGGTGGTTAGAACTCTTTCCCTAACTTAACATACTCCTACTTAAGGGATACTACCCAGAGGCAGAGTGTTGCAAGATTCAGGACAGATGCTTCTAGCAACGATACCCCACAAATGGAATTCAGAGGATACTCCAGAACATGTTTGCAAGGATATCCAGAGGTACAAGGTGGTAAGAGGGACTCCCAAACATTGGTCTTAAGGAAACATCAAACAGTATACTGTTGAGGGTCTCCGGAGGGGGGTTAAATACAGGGGAATATCAAGATACTCCAGAGGACAGGTTGAGAGGGGCCCAAGGTAGAGTGTTCAGAGGATACTCCCAGAGGACGGGTAGGGGCTTCAGAGGATACTCCCAGAGGACAGGGTAGTGTTCAGAGGGATACTCCCAGAGGACAGGGTGTGTTCAGAGGATACTCCCAGAGGACAGGTGGTATAGAGGAACTCCCAAAGGGCAGGTGTGTTCAGAGATACTCCAGGGGACAGGGTTAGTGTTCAGAGGGATACTCCCAGAGGACAGGGTGGTGTTCAGAGGGATACTCCCAGAGGACAGGGTGGTGTTCAGAGGGATACTCCCAGAGGACAGAGTGTAAATGTAAATCCAGGGGACACCCAAATTAGTATGATATGTTATGTTTGGTACAGTTACATAAGACAGGAGGTTACTTAAGCCAAAAAAGAAAGGAGGGTGGTTGGTCGGGGTGGATGGGTGGGTGTATAATGCGAACGTCTAGCAACCCATTTTTAGCTACTTTGCAACTACTTAGCATGTTAGCTAACTCTTCCCCTAACCCTTTAACCTAACTCCTAACCTTAACCCTAACCTTAACCCCTAACCCCTAGCTTAGCTAACATTAGCCAGCTAGCCTCTAGCTAACGTTAGCCACAACAAATTGGAATTCGTAACATATCATACATTTTGCTAATTCATAACATATCGTACAAAATGGAAGATGGACATCCACAAATTGATACCATACGAAACATAACATATCATACTAATTGAGGTGTCTCGGAGTTCCATACAGAATAATACAAAATACTCTGAGACCAGGTTGGAGCACAGGGTAGTGCTCAGAAGGATACTCCCAGAGGACAGGGTAGTGTTCAGAAGGATACTCCCAGAGAACAGGGTAGTGCTCAGAAGGATACTCCCAGAGGACAGGGTAGTGTTCAGAACGATACTCCCAGAGGACAGGGTAGTGCTCAGAAGAATACTCCCAGATGACAGGGTGTTGTTCACCAACAAAAATATTAATTCATTCAAGGTTTATACAAATACGTCCATTCAATAGAGAATTACATCAGAAAAACAAATGGTCCAAACCCCATGTCTCTACCATGTATGATTCAAAAGTTAGACGTTTTATTCTGAGAATGTAGCATGAGAGTGGATGGAATGTCATCACAGACATGATCAACAAGTGGTCACTGCTCAATAGAACTCTGTCACTACTCCGAGGCAAAATGGCGCTAACTTTGAACGTCAACTGACAAGCTAACTAGTGGCTGCAGGCTCGTAAGTGAAAACATGGGCTTTTTCTCAATGAAATCCGCAGAATACAAAACAAAATAGGGACTAAATATATATTTATTAACAAAACTAACAGACTAAATTTCAATAGCCACCCTCCGCGAAGACAAACACTGAGAAATCACTCGGGGGAGGTACTCTCTGACCTTGCCCAATAACAAACATTCATTTTCATTTTACATTTTGCTACGGTACCCTAATGAAGACGGCCCCATTCTCAACGAGGTCATAACCCCATCCCCACAGAGGTCAGTTGGCTAGGAATGTACATTCTAAAGTAAGTAAGAATGGCTCATAGGGGGAGGAGTCTATCTCCTGTTTCTGTAGCGTGAGGCAGCTTGATGTACGAGTACACCCTCTGGACAGGACGCTAGTCTATCGCTGGGCCTTACCAATCCATCTCTTTAATGCTGAGTGCCAAGCAAAGACGCATTGGGTCCCATTTTTACACGGTTTGGTATGACTCCGCCTGGGATTCCAACTCCACAAAGTTTCAATCTCAGGGCGGACGCTCTAACCACAAGGCCACTGAGTTGGAATGTACTTTCTAGTCATTCTATTTCTATGCTGTATAACTCTATACACTCACAGGGGTCTTGGAGGGGGGGCTGAGCTCCATCCAGTGCTGTGTCTCCTCAGGGCCCAGCTGTCTGAGGGAGAGGACACACTCTGCCACCGTCCTCTTCCTGGGGTGGTGGGTCTGCAGCCGGAGGACCAGAGCACTGCAACGCAGCTGTTGCAGCCGCAACGCAAACACAAAGGTCTCCATGAAGACTGTGTCCTAGGAGGGAGGGAGGGAGGGAGGGAGGGAGGGGAGGGATGGAGGGCAGGGAGGGAGGGAGGGGAGGGAGGGAGGGAGGGAGGGAGGGAGGGAGGGAGGGAGGGAGGGAGGGGAGGGAGGGAGGCAGGGGAGGGAGGGAGGGAGGGAGGGAGGGAGGCAGGGAGGGAGGGAGGGAGGGAGGGAGGGAGGGAGGGAGGCAGGGAGGGAGGGAGGGAGGGAGGACGGGAGGCAGGGAGGGAGGGAGGGAGGAGGGAGGGAGGGAGGGAGGGAGGGAGGGAGGGAGGGAGGGAGGAATGGAGGGAGGGAGGGAGGCAGGGAGGGAGGGAGCAGAGATAGAAGATTAGGATGGTACTCCACTCTGACTAGTATCTGGTTAGATTAGGATGGTACTCCACTCAGACTAGTATCTGGTAGATTAGGATGGTACTCCACTCAGACTAGTATCTGGTAGATTAGGATGGTACTCCACTCAGACTAGTATCTGGTAGATTAGGATGGTACTCCGCTCAGACTAGTATCTGGTAGATTAGGATGGTACTCCGCTCAGACTAGTATCTGGTAGATTAGGATGGTACTCCACTCAGACTAGTATCTGGTAGATTAGGATGGTACTCCGCTCAGACTAGTATCTGGTAGATTAGGATGGTACTCCACTCAGACTAGTATCTGGTAGATTAGGATGGTACTCCACTCAGACTAGTATCTGGTAGATTAGGATGGTACTCCACTCAGACTAGTATCTGGTAGATTAGGATGGTACTCCGCTCAGACTAGTATCTGGTAGATTAGGATGGTACTCCGCTCAGACTAGTATCTGGTAGATTAGGATGGTACTCCGCTCAGACTAGTATCTGGTAGATTAGGATGGTACTCCACTCAGACTAGTATCTGGTAGATTAGGATGGTACTCCACTCAGACTAGTATCTGGTAGATTAGGATGGTACTCCACTCAGACTAGTATCTGGTAGATTAGGTGGTACTCTCAGACAGTATCTGGAGATTAGGATGGTACTCCACTCAGACTAGTATCTGGTAGATTAGGATGGTACTCCGCTCAGACTAGTATCTGGTAGATTAGGATGGTACTCGCTCAGACTAGTATCTGGTAGATTAGGATGGTACTCCGCTCAGACTAGTATCTGGTAGATTAGGATGGTACTCCACTCAGACTAGTATCTGGTAGATTAGGATGGTACTCCACTCAGACTAGTATCTGGTAGATTAGGATGGTACTCCACTCAGACTAGTATCTGGTAGATTAGGATGGTACTCCACTCAGACTAGTATCTGGTAGATTAGGATGGTACTCCGCTCAGACTAGTATCTGGTAGATTAGGATGGTACTCCGCTCAGACTAGTATCTGGTAGATTAGGATGGTACTCCGCTCAGACTAGTATCTGGTAGATTAGGATGGTACTCCGCTCAGACTAGTATCTGGTAGATTAGGATGGTACTCCACTCAGACTAGTACCTGGTAGATTAGGATGGTACTCCGCTCAGACTAGTATCTGGTAGATTAGGATGGTACTCCGCTCAGACTAGTATCTGGTAGATTAGGATGGTACTCCGCTCAGACTAGTATCTGGTAGATTAGGATGGTACTCCACTCAGACTAGTAGGACATTAGCTGCCAGAGAGAATTACCTTTATATCTCTCCCAAACAGACATTTCCTCTCTATCAAACAGAAGCCCAATGTCTAAGACGTGAGGATGCTGGCAGCGAGAACTGCTACTTGGATGTGAAGCTATTAGGTAACTGATCGTCAGTGGTTCAGTGTTTTAGGTAGGTCGAAGGTCGAATACAGAGAAGGTTAAGACGACGTAATAATTCCATGCAGAAGTGTTCGGAAAATAAACACATTCATTGGACCACCAGCGCTGTTGCTGATTCTAGAGGATTAGCATTGAAACCGTGACCAGCGGTCTGGACATCAGGTCATAACGTGGTTGTAGAATGACAGTAAACAGTTATTATTCTGTGTATGCTTAGCAGTTAGCTGAAATTCATTTTACATTTAAGTCATTTAGCAGACGCTCTTATCCAGAGTGACTTACAGGAGCAATTAGGGTTAAGTGCCTTGCTCAAGGGCACATCGACAGATTTTTCACCTAGTCGGCTCAGGGATTAGAACCAGCGACCTTTCGTTTACTGGCACAACGCTCTTAACCACTAAGCTACCTGCCGCTACGATTACATTTATTTTCCACTTGGATGACAAAACTTTTTGTACTGCTAACATTCACTTCCAGTCATTTTTGCTCCGGCGCTGTTCCAATGAATTTGTTTATTTTCGAACGCTCCGCATGGAATTATGATAGGTGAGGAAATGCTAGACTATCCTGGTCCCAGATCTGTTTGAGTTGTAGGCATATAGCCAACTCCTATGGTGGTTGTCATGCACAAACAGATCTGGGACCAGGCTAATGCTAGTCTATCTTAGATGTGATTGGAGACATAGCATTGTACAGTAAATGGGGTTAGCCTGGTGCCAGAACCGTTTGTGTTGTCTTTCCTACATCACTGACCATATGAGTTAGCAAGACAGCGCAAACAGATCTGGTACCAGGCTAACATGGGGTTGGGATGCGCTAAATAACTTACCGGAGAGCCTTCCTTGACGGAGCTCTTGAACTGTACTGGTTTGGTCATAGTGATGATGCCTTTAAAGCCAATCTTCTGCTGCTCGCTGCTGTCCTGAGCGAGGTACACATCCTTACACTGAGAGGAGAGGAAGAAGAGTTAGAGGTGTGGCTACAGAGTTGGAGGTGTGGCTACAGAGTTGGAGGTGTGGCTACAGAGTTGGAGGTGTGGCTACAGAGTTGGAGGTGTGGCTACAGAGTTAGAGGTCGTCTGGCTACAGAGTTAGAAGTCGTCTGGCTACAGAGTTAGAGATCGTCTGGCTACAGAGTTAGAGATCGTCTGGCTACAGGGTTAGAGGTCGTCTGGCTACAGAGTTAGAGGTCGTCTGGCTACAGAGTTAGAGGTCGTCTGGCTACAGAGTTAGAGGTCGTCTGGCTACAGAGTTAGAAGTCGTCTGGCTACAAAGTTAGTGGTCTGGCTACAGAGTTAGAGGTCTGGCTACAGAGTTAGAGGTCGTCTGGCTACAGAGTTAGAGGTCGTCTGGCTACAGAGTTAGAGGTCGTCTGGCTACAGAGTTAGAGGTCTGGCTACAGAGTTAGAGGTTGTCTGGCTACAGAGTTGGATGTCTGGCTACAGAGTTAGAGGTCGTCTGGCTACAGAGTTAGAGGTCTGGCTACAGAGTTAGAGGTCGTCTGGCTACAGAGTTAGAGGTCGTCTGGCTACAGAGTTAGAGGTCGTCTGGCTACAGAGTTAGAGGTCGTCTGGCTACAGAGTTAGAGGTCGTCTGGCTACAGAGTTAGAGGTCGTCTGGCTACAGAGTTAGAGGTCGTCTGGCTACAGAGTTAGAGGTCGTCTGGCTACAGAGTTAGAGGTCTTCTGGCTACAGAGTTAGAGGTCTGGCTACAGAGTTAGAGATTGTCTGGCTACAGAGTTAGAGGTCTTCTGGTTACAGAGTTAGAGATCGTCTGGCTACAGAGTTAGAGGTTGTCTGGCTACAGAGTTAGAGGTCGTCTGGCTAGAGAGTTAGGATCGTCTGGCTACAGAGTTAGAGTTTGTCTGGCTACAAAGTTAGAGGTCTGGCTACAGAGTTAGAGGTCTGGCTACAAAGTTAGAGGTCTTGCTACAGAGTTAGAGGTCTGGCTACAGAGTTAGAGGTCGTCTGGCTACAGAGTTAGAGATCGTCTGGCTACACAGTTAGAGATCGTCTGGCTACAGAGTTAGAGGTGTGGCTACAGAGTTGGATGTCTGGCTACAAAGTTAGAGGTCTTGCTACAGAGTTAGAGGTCTGGCTACAAAGTTAGAGGTCGTCTGGCTACAGAGTTAGAGGTCGTCTGGCTACAGAGTTAGAGGTCGTCTGGCTACAGAGTTAGATGTCGTCTGGCTACAGAGTTAGATGTCGTCTGGCTACAGAGTTAGAGGTCTGGCTACAGAGTTAGAGGTCTGGCTACAGAGTTAGAGGTCGTCTGGCTACAGAGTTAGAGATCGTCTGGCTACACAGTTAGAGATCGTCTGGCTACAGAGTTAGAGGTCGTCTGGCTGCAGAGTTAGATGTCGTCTGGCTACAGAGTTAGAGGTCTGGCTACAGAGTTAGAGGTCTGGCTACAGAGTTAGAGGTCGTCTGGCTACAGAGTTAGAGATCGTCTGGCTACACAGTTAGAGATCGTCTGGCTACAGAGTTAGAGGTCTGGCTACAGAGTTAGAGGTGTGGCTACAGAGTTGGATGTCTGGCTACAAAGTTAGAGGTCTTGCTACAGAGTTAGAGGTCTGGCTACAAAGTTAGAGGTCGTCTGGCTACAGAGTTAGAGGTCGTCTGGCTACAGAGTTAGAGGTCGTCTGGCTACAGAGTTAGATGTCGTCTGGCTACAGAGTTAGATGTCGTCTGGCTACAGAGTTAGAGGTCTGGCTACAGAGTTAGAGGTCTGGCTACAGAGTTAGAGGTCGTCTGGCTACAGAGTTAGAGATCGTCTGGCTACACAGTTAGAGATCGTCTGGCTACAGAGTTAGAGGTCGTCTGGCTGCAGAGTTAGATGTCGTCTGGCTACAGAGTTAGAGGTCTGGCTACAGAGTTAGAGGTCTGGCTACAGAGTTAGAGGTCTGGCTACAAAGTTAGAGGTCTGGCTACAGAGTTAGAGGTCTGGCTACAGAGTTAGAGGTCTGGCTACAGAGTTAGAGGTCTGGCTACAGAGTTAGAGGTCTGGCTACAGAGTTAGAGGTCTGGCTACAGAGTTAGAGGTCATCTGGCTACAGAGTTAGAGGTCGTCTGGCTGCAGAGTTAGAGGTCTGGCTACAGAGTTAGAGGTCGTCTGGCTGCAGAGTTAGAGGTCGTCTGGCTACAGAGTTAGAGGTCGTCTGGCTACAGAGTTAGAGGTCGTCTGGCTACAGAGTTAGAGGTCGTCTGGCTACAGAGTTAGAGGTCGTCTGGCTACAGAGTTAGAGGTCGTCTGGCTACAGAGTTAGAGGTCGTCTGGCTAGAGAGTTAGGATCGTCTGGCTACAGAGTTAGAGGTCGTCTGGCTACAGAATTAGAGGTCTGGCTACAGAGTTAGAGGTCGTCTGGCTGCAGAGTTAGAGTTTGTCTGGCTACAGAGTTGGAGGTGTGGCTACAGAGTTAGGGGTCGTCTGGCTACAGAGTTAGAGGTCTGGCTACAGAGTTAGAGGTCTGGCTACAGAGTTAGAGGTCTGGCTACAGAGTTAGAGGTCTGGCTACAGAGTTGGAGGTCTGGCTACAGAGTTAGAGGACTGGCTACAAAGTTAGAGGTCTGGCTACAGAGTTAGAGGTCGTCTGGCTACAGAGTTAGAGGTCGTCTGGCTACAGAGTTAGAGGTCGTCTGGCTACAGAGTTAGAGGTCTGGCTACAGAGTTAGAGGTCGTCTGGCTACAGAGTTAGAGGTCTGGCTACAGAGTTAGAGGACTGGCTACAGAGTTAGAGGTCGTCTGGCTACAGAGTTAGAGGTCGTCTGGCTACAGAGTTAGAGGTCTTCTGGTTACAGAGTTAGAGATCGTCTGGCTACAGAGTTAGAGGTTGTCTGGCTACAGAGTTAGAGGTCGTCTGGCTAGAGAGTTAGAGTTTGTCTGGCTACAAAGTTAGAGGTCTGGCTACAGAGTTAGAGGTCGTCTGGCTACAAAGTTAGAGGTCGTCTGGCTACAGAGTTAGAGGTCGTCTGGCTACAGAGTTAGAGGTCTTCTGGTTACAGAGTTAGAGATCGTCTGGCTACAGAGTTAGAGGTCGTCTGGCTACAGAGTTAGAGGTCGTCTGGCTAGAGAGGTAGGATCGTCTGGCTACAGAGTTAGAGATCGTCTGGCTACAGAGTTAGAGGTTGTCTGGCTACAGAGTTAGAGGTCGTCTGGCTAGAGAGGTAGGATCGTCTGGCTACAGAGTTAGAGTTTGTCTGGCTACAAAGTTAGAGGTCTGGCTACAGAGTTAGGGGTCGTCTGGCTACAGAGTTAGGATCGTCTGGCTACAGAGTTAGAGGTCTGGCTACAAAGTTAGAGGTCTGGCTACAGAGTTAGAGGTCTGGCTACAGAGTTAGAGGTCTGGCTACAGAGTTAGAGGTTGTCTGGCTACAGAGTTAGAGTTTGTCTGGCTACAAAGTTAGAGGTCTGGCTACAGAGTTAGAGGTCTGGCTACAGAGTTAGAGGTCTGGCTACAGAGTTAGAGGTCTGGCTACACAGTTAGAGATCGTCTGGCTACAGAGTTAGAGGTCTGGCTACAGAGTTAGAGGTCGTCTGGCTACAGAGTTAGAGGACTGGCTACAGAGTTAGAGGTCGTCTGGCTACAGAGTTAGAGGTCTGGCTACAGAGTTAGAGGTCTGGCTACAGAGTTAGAGGACTGGCTACAGAGTTAGAGGTCGTCTGGCTACAGAGTTAGAGGTCTGGCTACAGAGTTAGAGGTCTGGCTACAGAGTTAGAGGTCGTCTGGCTACAGAGTTAGAGGTCTGGCTACAGAGTTAGAGGTCTGGCTACAAAGTTAGAGGTCTGGCTACAGAGTTAGAGGTCTGGCTACAGAGTTAGAGGTTGTCTGGCTACAGAGTTAGAGGTTGTCTGGCTACAGAGTTAGAGGTCTGGCTACAGAGTTAGAGGTCTGGCTACAGAGTTAGAGGTTGTCTGGCTACAGAGTTAGAGGTTGTCTGGCTACAGAGTTAGAGGTCTGGCTACACAGTTAGAGATCGTCTGGCTACAGAGTTAGAGGTCTGGCTTACAGGTTAGAGGTGTCTGGCTACAGAGTTAGAGGACTGGCTACAGAGTTAGAGGTCGTCTGGCTACAGAGTTAGAGGTCTGGCCTACAGAGTTAGAGGTCGTCTGGCTACAGAGTTAGAGGTCTGGGCTACAGAGTAGAGGTCTGGCTACAGAGTTAGAGGACTGGCTACAGAGTTAGAGGTCTGGCTACAGAGTTAGAGGTCTGGCTACAGAGTTAGAGGTCGTCTAGCTACAGAGTTAGAGGTCTGGCTACAGAGTTAGAGGTCTGGCTACAGAGTTAGAGGTCTGGCTACAGAGTTAGAGGTCGTCTGGCTACAGAGTTAGAGGACTGGCTACAGAGTTAGAGGACTGGCTACAGAGTTAGAGGTCTGGCTACAAGTTAGAGGTCGTCTGGCTACAGGTTAGAGGACTGGCTACAGAGTTAGAGGTCGTCTGGCTACAGAGTTAGAGGACTGGCTACAGAGTTAGAGGTTCTGGCTACCGAGTAGAGGTCTGGCTACAGAGTTAGAGTCGTCTGGCTACAGAGTTAGAGGTCTGGCTACAGAGTTAGAGGTCGTTGGCTACAGAGTTAGAGGTCGTCTGGCTCACAGAGTTAGAGGTCGTCTGGTACAGAGTTAGAGGACTGGCTACAGAGTTAGAGGTCTGGTACAGAGTTAGAGGTCTGGCTACAGAGTTAGAGGTCGTCTGGCTACAGAGTTAGAGGGTCTGGCTACAGAGTTAGAGGTCTGGCTACAGAGTTAGAGGTCTGGCTACAGAGTTAGAGGTCTGGCTACAGAGTTAGAGGTCGTCTGGCTACAGAGTTAGAGGTCGTCTGGCTACAGAGTTAGAGGTCTGGCTACAGAGTTAGAGGTCTGGCTACAGAGATAGAGGTCTGGCTACAGTAGGTATCATAGTGTATTTATTATACAGGGACTTCTAGCCAAGTGTCTCAGGACTTGTCCTCTTGTTTTTGCTTTGGTTGAAAGTAATTTACTTGTTAGTGTATCTACGTTGAGATTATTTCTCCTCAGTAAATAACCTCTCAAAGCAGTGATTATTTATCCTCAGTTAAAAAAAACTCTCAAAGCAGTGATTATTTCTCCTCAGTAAAAAACATCTCAAAGCAGTGATTATTGCTCCTCAGTAAAAAACCTCTCAGAAGTTAACAGAGCAGTGACTTGTGAGAGAGAGGAGATATTGAGATGGAATTTCTGGGTTTCCAACAGTCTGAGACAGAAGCCCCATTCAGCCACCTAGCAGGCAGGTACAATGGGCCCTTCAGTCCCCTGGGTAGCCCCCTCCACCCCCCAGGCCTGTAACCGTACCTGTAGCAACGTGATCCACACCTGCTCCAGGGCCTCCTGGTAACTCAGCCGGACACACACCTTCCCCAACTCTCTCTGTTCCCTCTCATCCCCAGACAACGTGATGGACTCTACAAAGACAGACACACAGAGACTTGTCAGCTCAATGGAAAACACAATGTTGTTAGCCTAAGGCTAAAGCTAAGCTACAGAACATGACTGTTCGTTTGGATATTCCATCTGCTTATTGTGAAATACTTGATGTACATTGTGTGTGTTTGACAGTTTGTGTTTGACAAGCTGCCCATCTAGTCTTATTCACAGTGTTACCTGAGGATTTAAACGCTGGATCGACCAACGTCAACAGATTTGCCCTTTCATGATTTTCTCAACAATACAGAGCAGAACAGAGCAGAGGAGAACAATCTCAATCTGACTGAATCAGGGAGGTCTGGTGGGGCTGTGTGTGTTGTGTGTGTGTGTGTTGTGTGTGTGTGTGTGTTGTGTGTAATGGTTACCAAGGCTACGGGCTGTTTTCTTTTCTATTTCCTCAAAAAAAGAAAAAGCACAAAAACAAATTCTAACAAAGTCTGTTAGTAAGTGAATTGTTGTCTTTGTTCTGTAGTCAGGGCTTAGTGTCTCCTTTGTATTGGTTACCAAGGCTACAACTGTGTGTGTGTGTGTGGTGTGTGTGCGTGCGTGTGCGTGTGCGCGTGTGTGTGTGTGTGTGTGTGTGTGTGTGTGTGTGTGTGCGTGTGTGCGTGTGCGTGTGCGTGTGTGTAATGGTTACCAAGGCTACGGCTGTTCTCCAGGGAGTCCCTCTGGGAGGACGACGCACTGCTGCTCTGGACACTGGACACACTGTCGTAACGCTACATTGGGACAAACACAGAGACATGATAAACACATGAGGCAACCTTGCGTGACATCAAGACATGAAGTCAACAGGACATTAACAGGATGTATGAATACACTACACAGAAACAGCTCAGTAGCTAAACTTCCCCCGATATTACACTACACAGAAACAGCTCCGTAGCTAAACTTCCCCCGATATTACACTACACAGAAACAGCTCAGTAGCTAAACTTCCCCCGATATTACACTACACAGAAACAGCTCAGTAGCTAAACTTCCCCCGATATTACACTACACAGAAACAGCTCAGTAGCTAAACTTCCCCCGATATTACACTACACAGAAACAGCTCAGTAGCTAAACTTCCCCCGATATTACACTACACAGAAACAGCTCAGTAGCTAAACTTCCCCCGATATTACACTACACAGAAACAGCTCAGTAGCTAAACTTCCCCCGATATTACACTACACAGAAACAGCTCAGTAGCTAAACATCCCCCGATATTACACTACACAGAAACAGCTCAGTAGCTAAACTTCCCCCGATATTACACTACACAGAAACAGCTCAGTAACTAAACTTCCCCCGATATTACACTACACAGAAACAGCTCAGTAGCTAAACTTCCCCCGATATTACACTACACAGAAAACAGCTCAGTAGCTAAACTTCCCCCGATATTACACTACACAGAAAACAGCTCAGTAGCTAAACTTCCCCCGATATTACACTACACAGAAACAGCTCAGTAACTAAACTTCCCCCGATATTACACTACACAGAAACAGCTCAGTAGCTAAACTTCCCCCGATATTACACTACACAGAAACAGCTCAGTAGCTAAACTTCCCCCGATATTACACTACACAGAAACAGCTCAGTAGCTAAACTTCCCCCCGATATTACACTACACAGAAACAGCTCAGTAGCTAAACTTCCCCCGATATTACACTACACAGAAACAGCTCAGTAGCTAAACTTCCCCCGATATTACACTACACAGAAACAGCTCAGTAGCTAAACTTCCCCCGATATTACACTACACAGAAACAGCTCAGTAGCTAAACTTCCCCCGATATTACACTACACAGAAACAGCTCCGTAGCTAAACTTCCCCCGATATTACACTACACAGAAACAGCTCAGTAGCTAAACTTCCCCCGATATTACACTACACAGAAACAGCTCAGTAGCTAAACTTCCCCCGATATTACACTACACAGAAACAGCTCAGTAGCTAAACTTCCCCCGATATTACACTACACAGAAAACAGCTCAGTAGCTAAACTTCCCCCGATATTACACTACACAGAAACAGCTCAGTAGCTAAACATCCCCCGATATTACACTACACAGAAACAGCTCAGTAGCTAAACTTCCCCCGATATTACACTACACAGAAACAGCTCAGTAGCTAAAACTTCCCCCGATATTACACTACACAGAAACAGCTCAGTAGCTAAACTTCCCCCGATATTACACTACACAGAAACAGCTCAGTAGCTAAACTTCCCCCGATATTACACTACACAGAAACAGCTCAGTAGCTAAACTTCCCCCGATATTACACTACACAGAAAACAGCTCAGTAGCTAAACTTCCCCCGATATTACACTACACAGAAACAGCTCAGTAGCTAAACTTCCCCCGATATTACACTACACAGAAACAGCTCAGTAGCTAAACTTCCCCCGATATTACACTACACAGAAACAGCTCAGTAGCTAAACTTCCCCCGATATTACACTACACAGAAACAGCTCAGTAGCTAAACTTCCCCCGATATTACACTACACAGAAACAGCTCAGTAGCTAAACTTCCCCCGATATTACACTACACAGAAACAGCTCAGTAGCTAAACTTCCCCCGATATTACACTACACAGAAACAGCTCAGTAGCTAAACTTCCCCGATATTACACTACACAGAAACAGCTCAGTAGCTAAACTTCCCCCGATATTTACACTACACAGAAACAGCTCAGTAGCTAATTTCCCACGATATACACTACACAGAAAACAGCTCCAGTAACTAAACTTCCCCCGATATACACTACACAGAAACAGCTCAGTAGCTAAACTTCCCCCGATATTACACTACACAGAAACAGCTCAGTAGCTAAACTTCCCCCGATATTACACTACACAGAAACAGCTCAGTAGCTAAACATCCCCCGATATTACACTACACAGAAACAGCTCAGTAGCTAAACTTCCCCCGATATTACACTACACAGAAACAGCTCAGTAGCTAAACTTCCCCCGATATTACACTACACAGAAACAGCTCAGTAGCTAAACTTCCCCCGATATTACACTACACAGAAACAGCTCAGTAGCTAAACTTCCCCCGATAAGGCATGATAGCAACTAACAACACAGACAAATAATCAAATCACAAAGTTCTGGCTATTTTCAACCAGGTACAGTTAATGTCCCAAATGGCACCATTTAATTTTTTTTACATTTTAGTCATTTAGCAGACGCTCTTATCCAGAGCGACTTACATTATATTTTTATTTTTCATACTGGCCCCCCCGTGGGAATCGAACCCACAACCCTGGCATTGCAAACGCCATGCTCTACATCCCTGCCGATGGGTCTCCCGGTCGCGGCCGGCTACGACAGAGCCTGGATTCGAACCAGGATCTCTAGTGGCACAGCTAGCGCTGCGATGTGCAGTGCCTTAGACCACTGCGCCACTCGGGAGGTTAACCCCCTCGGCACCCTATGTCCTATTTAGTGCACTATACTTTGGACCAGGGTCCGTAGGTCACTATATAGAGAAAAGGGTCCCATTTGGGATGCAAGCCCAGGAGTAATATCAGAAACGGAAGTCTATCCCGTTATTTATCACGAGGTTCTGTACGATAGATTGTAATGTTTATCGTGGTTTTGGGGCGAGACACGAGTCCCGAGTATTCATAACAAATCCACTATCAATATATACCTGGTAACCGATGGATTGTTGATGACTAGCGATTACGATACAATATCTCTTATATTACTAATACAGCTAAGCGGACCTCACCCAGACCAACCCTAACCAAACCCTACATATTATTGTGATTGATTACCACTTCATTCAGCACAATCAACAGAGATTTGCGCCGTCTTTTAGAGGCTGAGAGGTGAGTGACGGTCAATGGAAAACCCCGGAAGGTACCGGTGACGCACAATGACAAAAATAGGTATGTCAGCTCATAGGTGGATTTAGGCTTTTGTTTACAGAGGCATCATTACTGAATGTGTCGGAGGTGGTTGTTAAATAATACAGGTGTTTGATACTTACATAAACATCCTCACTCACCTGTATGTGGCCGTGAGGGCTGGAGTTGGACAAGTCAAACATGGATTTGCTCAGAGTCAGTCTCTCAGTCTTCATATTCCCACCTGAAAGCCAATCAAACCAAAAGGACGTATTAAAGGATTAAAGATACTTTTCCCAATGTGAAAGCCAAGCAAACAGTTACAGGGAAATCTCAATTATGCAATATTCATCTTTCTTAGGGAGATAATGGGAGACCTTCTCTTTCTGATTTACAGTACACACCTGATCCTGAGGTCCTGCTCTCTCCTCACATATAAACTACACCTGATCCTGAGGTCCTGGTCTCTCCTCATCCACCATATAAACTACACCTGATCCTGAGGTCCTGCTCTCTCCTCACATATAAACTACACCTGATCCTGAGGTCCTGGTCTCTCCTCACATATAAACTACACCTGATCTGAGGTCTGCTCTCCTAC